TTACATTTTGGTACCTAAAATTTTTCATTATCACATTTTAGTACCTAAACTTTTCAAAATTTACATTTTGGTCCAAGCCTTGGATGTCATTTGGATTCATGGATCAATCCACCAATCCATTTGATCCAATCCATGAATCCACCAATCCATTGGATCCATGGCATTTGATCCATGGATCCACCAATCCAATCCACGAATCCGATCCAATTGCCACCTCTAATAGCAGAGCACTTCTACTATGCTATATAGCATTGGTGCTTTAATGTACAACTCAAAGTTGTACCATAACATTAAATGTATAAGTTTAGGTTGTACCATAAAGCAATTTATACCATTATGTTATGGTACAACTTTACAACTTGAAGTTGTACCATCACATAAAGGTACAACTTCAAGTTGTACCATAAAAGAATTTGTACAAAATGTATAGGTACAATCTAAAGTTGTACCATAACGTAAATGTACAATTTTAAGTTGTACCATAAAGGCAAAAACCTATAGCACCAATACTATATAGCATTGTAAAATTTCTCCTAATAGGAGGGCTGCAAACAGTATAGCACCAATACTATAAGTTGTACCATAAGATGGCTCCATCAGATGTCCACACACGTAAGAACACAAAGCAGCTTGTAATTCTCCACATGCTTCCAACATCATACCTTTCCACTCAGAAAGCCTAGAATACAAATCTGCTAGACCATGCCAAACTTCATATTCATTGACCTTGTCATCCTCAGCCTGCCAAACTAAATATCCCTCCTTCTTCGCTTCCCTTCTCTGTCCTCTTCTCTTCTCTTCTCTTCTCACACAATCCAAAAGGTGAGGCGCCGCCTCCACCACCGCCTAGCAAACCGCCTCTCAAGGCGTACTCTATCTGTAAATTCCTTGCTTCTCTATTTCCCTTCGTTAGATGAATTATTTCTTCTTCTGTATACTCAAATCCATGGCGGCTAGAAAGAAGCCGAACAGATCAAGGGTCCATGGAGCCCCGAGGAAGAAGAGTCGCTACAGCGACTGATCCACAGCTACGGCCCGAGAAACTGGTCTCCCCAGGCGGGTGATCTGCGTGTGGAAGCCGAGGAAGGCGGAGGATGCGCCGAAGCCCGGCGGGGCATTGTGGGGAGTGGGGTATCTGAAGGATAACTGGATCGACATGGATCTGTCGTCGACGAAGTTCGAGAGCAATCTGAAGCTTCTAAGCCAGCGGGGGTGGAGAACACGGTGACGCCGCAACCCGACAATCCGATCAAACCGTGACGAGCCGGATCCACTCCTACGCGAGGTTGTTCATCAACTAGGCGGTGGCCAAAGGGTGGGGAATTGGTATTGGGTATTAGAAGAAATTAGAATTTTTATTTATTTTAAATAAAAGTGATAATGAGGTGAAAATCATATGGCAATTTTGAAAATTTTAATTTTATTATTTTAAAATTGCCACGTCACACATTTAATGGTCAACTTTTAGAGTTGATCGCCACATAAGCAAAAGTTAACGGAGCTGGATGGAGAGTGACCAAACGTGAACGGTTTCAATAAACTGAAGTACCACCAATGAATTCAAATATTTTTTTTCGGTAATTGGCAACTTATATATAGCTCCGCTTGATCAAATTGATCAAGGCCTCGAAAAGACAACTGATCCATACTTACATGGTAACTACGTTAACTACTCACCTCCAGTACAACCACTGGTAGGTAATATTAGGCGAAACTGATTATTACCTAGACTATACAAATATACTTCCTCCCAAATATCTTGAACAAGCATCTGTCTTGTCCGTTCTTTCGAACCAAAAATCCTGACATTTCGCTCCTTGCAAATCTTTCCCACTACCCAACACCAAACAGCTCCATAGATCAACCATTTCTCCCCCTGTTGCTTTGTAATGGAACATATCTGCTCCAAGCATCCCTGCCACTTCCCTGGCCAACTTGGAATTAATGGGAAGACCTGCAGAATGACATCGGCAGAATATGGACAGCTAAAGAAAAGGTGGTCCCTTGTCTCCCTTGATCCTCCACAGAGAACACAGTCATCATTATCAATAACCCCCCACTCCAATAGTTTGTCTTTGGTCTTTATTCGATCAAGGATTACTAACCATGTAAGCAGTCTGTATCGGGGAACACAGAACTTTCCCCATAGAACTCTATACCAGTCTACCACAGGCTGTTTAGATCGAATAGACTGCCATATTGTCTTACCCGAGAACTTCTCCATCTGTTTACCTTCCCAGAACACTTGCCCTGGCCCCTGAGTCGTGAAACGAAACTGGAACCAAGGTCTGATCTTCATCAGACTTCTCCATACCCCGGAACCTGCAAAGTTAGGTCGAAGATCCCAAATTGAACGCCCTTGCAGTCGGTATCTAGTGGTCCAGGCCACCCAAAAGCTTCCTCCCTGCATCAGAAGAAGCCATAGAAATTGTGCCACACAAGCTACGTTCCATGTCTCGAGATATTTGAGGCCTAAACCCCCCTCTTTCTTCGGCCGAGCAATGAATTTCCAAGCAATTTTAGCTTTGCCTGTTCCCTCACCATGCCATAAAAAATCAGAGCATACTTTCTGTATCATCAAAATAATCTGCTTGGGCAAAATGAAAATAGACATCCAAAACTGTACTACTGCATAAACAACCGATTCTACTAGCTGGGCTCTACCTGCATACGAGAGAGTAGAAGCTTTCCAAGAACGAATGCTGCTAGTAATTTTATCAACAAGAACCATACAATCACTACTCGATAACTTGCCTGTAAATAATGGTAGCCCAAGATATCGAACAAGGAAAGTGCCCTCTCTGAATCATGTAAACTGTACAACTATACTTTTATCTGCTTCCAGTTCTCCCCCAAAGTACACTTCTATTTTTCCTGTATTGCAAACTAGTCCAGACATAACCACAAACTTATCCAAAATCCTCTTCACACATTCAAGTGCATGAACAGACCCCCCGGTGAAAATCAGTAGATCATCAGCAAAACAGGGGTGTGTTAGACCCATAGATTTACACTGAGGGTGAGCATAGATGAAAGGATCTCTATGACAATAGTAAAAAGGTATGGAGACAAAGGATCCCCTTGTCTCACACCTTGCTTTGCTTCAAAATTACCAAATAAGCTGCCATGAATGGAAACACTAAAGGTTGCAGAAGCCAAACAGCTTTGAATCCAGCTAATAAATTTCTGTGAGAAGTGCATAAGTTTCATAACCAGAAAAAGAAATTCCCAATCCACAGAATCAAAAGCTTTCCTTAAATCCACCTTGATTGCACTTCTAGATGCAATCCCCTTTTTATTGTAATTCTGAACCAGTTCTTGCGCCGTTAGAATGTTCTCCAGTATACTTCGCCCTTTGATGAAAGCCGACTGATTTAAACTTATCACACTAGGTAAGACCTCCTTAATTCTATTTGAGATGACCTTTGACACAATTTTTCATAGCACATTTATACATGCTATTGGTCTATAGTAATTCAAGGTCATAGCACTGGGACATTTGGGACAAAGAGCAAGTGAGGTAGCATTCATACCTTGTGGCATCCTGCCCGTAGCAAAGAATTCCTGAACACCAGCCACTAGTGATCTTCCCACAATTTGTCAACTTTTCTGATAGAATCCAATCTTCCATCCATCCAGACCTGGGCTTTTTGTAGGGTCCATCTCAAAAATTGCATTACGAACCTCTTCAGCAGTCATTGATTGACACAGAAACCTGCCTTCCTCCTCACTTAATCTCTTCCTAATCTGCTTCGCCAAATACACATGATCTTGCTTCACATCACTGTTAACTGTACCAAACAATTTTTTATAGTAATTAACAGCTTCTTGCGCTATCTCGTCCACCTCTGTTACTTCTATCCCAGAGTCCAAAATCAATTTCCTGATCTGTTTTCGAGCTTGGCGAACTCTCACTGATGTATGAAAGAAATTTGTGTTTGAGTCTCCAAGAGCAAGCCAGCTGACCCGTGATTTCTGTTTGAGGAAACTCTCTTCAGCTTGCTGTAGAAATTGTCATTCCTTTGTACACTTAGTTTCCGCAGCAAAGGAACTAGGACATGGATTTGATAGAGCTTCCAGTTGTGCAAGTTTCATCTTTGTAGCAGCCTCTTTAGTTCGACCTCTAATATCCGAAAACGCCTCCTTATTAAGTTGTTTGAGTAACAACCTCGTTTGCTTAAGTTTCCTTTTAACTCTAGCTAGAACCCAACAATCTTCTGGTTGATCCCATACCTTTTTAAGAATCCCTGAATATGCTTCATGTGTAGTCCACATATCAAAGAATCTAAATGGTTTAGGATATGTCTTCTTAGGAACTCTAGGTTGTACCAACATACCACAATGGTCCGAGAAATCTGGAGGGAGGATTTCTACAACACAATCTGGAAATTCGCCCAGCCAATCCTCATTCACCATTACACGATCGAGTTTTCTCGCTATTGGCCTTCCTTGCTGTTGATTGGACCAGGCCAGGAAAGGTCCTAATGCCTTATGATCTACAATTTCCATATCTGCAACCCAACCACAGAAATCAAGCATACTGGACGTAATAGAAGCCACAGGCGCCGCCTCATTCGGATGCATAAAAGCATTAAAATCTCCACAAACAAGCCACAGATACCTCTGCACCATTTTACCCCTCACCCTACCATACATTCCTTCTCGCTGTCTTTCCTCATTTGATCCATACACAACTGTAAAAAAGAATCTGTCCCTGTTAGAAATTGTCACCAACATATGAATGTAGAATTCATCCTCTTATAACACTCTGAGCTGCACTTCATCATTCCAAGCAACCCAGATGCGCCCCAGTGTGTTCTTACTATAGTTGTCAATAAACTGGAAACTAAGAAACTTATCCTGAATCTTTTTAGAATTAGTTTTTTGTACTCTAGTCTCTACTAATGTAAATAACTTCACATGTTGCCTATGAAGGTATTCCCGCAAGGCATCATGCTTCAAGGGGCCATTAAAGCCCCTTGCATTCCAAATAAGGATACTCATTTTGAAGGGTAAGCTGCCTTCGCAGCTCCCTTCCCACTTCTCAGTCCTTCACGTCCAGCCCTGAGAGGAACTGGGTTGATTAGTACTGGCGGCTTTGCATAAATAGCAGCAAACGAATTCTGCAATATTGGTGGAGGTGAAACCTGCACAATCTTTGGCCTACTCCCATTTACCGCAGCATTGAAAACCTCTGTTGATGGTAGAGCACAATGAGTGATTGGTGGAGAAAACAACTCCCCAGCATTAGAACAACCAATCTCCTCAGTTATGACCTGAGTCTGATCAATTAGTATCCCTTTTCCTTTGTCAACCAGCGTCTCAACAGACTCAACCACAACAGATCTTTTTTCCTTAATTCTCCATATCTGTTTAGTTCTTCTCCCTACAGGCCTAGAACAGTCATGCCCAAACTGCTTACAAGCTTTACAGATCATGGGAGCCGACAATATTCCACAGAAACAAACATCTCATCTGATCCATCTGGTGTAAATCTAATCTCATCAATCAAAGAGGCCTCAGCCGATAATTCAACACATACCAAAGCGATACCAACCCTATCCTCTTTCCTCGTAGGCAAATCAGAGCATAAGGCCTTACCCAGCTTGCTAGCCTCCCCAATCCTTCTCTCAAATTCAGTTCTGCTGGGATGCCCGAGAGCCTAACCCAAACAGGAACTGCAAAATTGCTTATCTTCAGTGGTTGGATTCCAGCTACCCATCATCGCAAACACAGCATGATCTCCTGGCAGTGCCAACCCCCCCCCCCCCCCCCCCCCCCCCCCCCCCCCCCGCGAAAACCCAGCTACATACCTCCTCCGATGGAAACTGGAATATGACAAGATGATCTCCAAACCCCGATACCTGCACCTCTCCTTTACGACCCCAAATCCAATTTGCCCTCGATAGGAGGACCCCCAGCGATGGTGTTTTGCCCAAAATTGCCCCACCAAACTATGCTTCCATCATTGCGATCCTTCGTCGATTACCGAATTTGGAATGCGAAGAGACCCATTCACATATTCTGGTTCGTAGAATTGGAGGCGACCTTCTTCCGGCACCCCGAATAAAGATGCCCAGGAGCGGTTGCTGCCAACAGCACCCAGCGAGGCATCATCAGCGACGGCAACCATTGTCAAAGTACTTTGAGTGACCAAACTTGAACGTTTTTTATAATCTCAGTGACCAACTATGCAATTAACCCGATAGTATTTTATATTAGTTTCAGTAATATTGTTAGAACCAAACCGAAGTATAAATGGATAGAATCAAGGTTGTCAAGCCGGTTTGGCAAGGGGTTAGAGGTTTAATGGTCGGATCGGGGTTCAACCAGATTAAGCCGGTTTTGACAAGATATATTCACAGTTCATATTGGAGAGCCATTTACACTTAATAAATTATGCATATATATATATTAGATGAATAACATCCAAACATTCACAGACCTAGATTTATATATAAATAACCAACTCCTATTTAACCGACTATATCTACTTCCTAATTAACCAACTCTTTCATTCTTTCTCTGTGAAAGTTTCTCTCCTGCTCGAATAAAAGCACCAGAAAGAATAGAGGGAAACAAAGTATGAATGTAACACCCCGAATTTTAGGTTATGGTTCGACCATAATACGTGATCGATTGGGTTGACAGTTGCATACTAAAGGTTGCAATCGCGGATTAGTAATAATAATAATATTAACAATTATTATTTTATTATTATAAAAAAACTAAACCTAGAGGGCCGTGCGGCCCTCAATTTCTTTTCCCCACCATCCCAATCGTTTCCCCACTAATTCCCCCACCCCACCCTTTTTACTTCCACGCGAGAGCGGCAGCAACAGCCGCAGAGAGAAAAAAAAAAAAGTACCGCCGCCCTGGCCGTATCCCATCGCGGGAGAGAAGAAAAAGAAGAAGGCCGCCGCCTTCTTATTACCGACCCTGATCCCGACCCCGACCCCATCCCTTTCGTCCTAGGTAAGGATAACGAACTCCTTCGTGGTTTTTTAACTTGATTCATCGTTAGATTAATTCGAAGCTCGGATTTTTATTAGCTGTGACGTTGAGGGTTCGATAAACAAGGAGATCAACATCCCGGGTCATCCAACCTAAGCCTAGGCACGTTCTAGAGGTAAGAGAGCTCGATCCCTTTGAGTTAGATCGATCGATTTGGTGATTTTTCGTGAGGGTGCAATTCTGGGTTTTAGCAACAGGCTTTTAGTGACAGATTTTGATTAGTCACTAAAGCTGCTGGGAAATTCCAGAAACGTATTTTTGGACGTTTTAAATTGTTTCGAGCCTCTCTAAAGGTTTTTTCTGAGTTTAACAATTTTATAAATTGAGCGACGTCTAGGAGATGGCTTTAATTTAATTTGGGGATTTTTGAAGATGTATTTCGATTTTTAGAAATTTTTCTAACTTTCGTTTTAATTAAATAAAAATATTTCCGAGGAGTTTATAAGGGTTTGATAATTTTCCAGGGTATAAGTACTCATGATTGATGTAGGAAAATTATTATCCAAAACTTTTAGAAGGTTTTAGTTAGGTGGAAAATTCATCTAAGACTAGAATAATTAAGAAAATGGTCGTTTTTGAAGGGATTAATTCTAGAAAATTCTAGTGGGGTTTAAGGACCTTTGGAGTGAGGATTTAGGATGGGACTTTGAGTAGAGGGTGTCTGGGTAGATAAAAAGGAGACGTTTAATAGGTTTCCTGGGATAATCCGGCTAATGAGGGAAAGAAGGCGAGAAAGTTAGCAGCCGATCGAACTTCGTAGTCTCGCGTGATGAGGAGGTTCACATTGATTAGTAGGAGGGGAAGAGCCGCGTCTATTAGAGGCGGATGGAAGGTCGAGAACTCGACATCGGTGATCGCAACTCGCGGGCGTAAAGTGATGGAGAGGCCCCGACCCTATCCTCCCAGACAACCCGGGGTATCGGCATTTCGAAGTTGGCCGCCGAATTGTGGCCCGAGGACGGACCTTGAAGAGAATGGCGGCGGAGCTCCAATGGTTAGGGTCATTGAAGAGGAAGACGATGAACCGATAGAGGAGGAGCCAAAAGAGGAAAAACACGCGGGGCTTGAGCTTAAGAATGCAGACGTTGATGCGACTAATGAGGTGAGTGTAAATGGGGTAGAATCTCTGTCGCAAGTCTTTTAGTTTATGCTTTTCGTTCAAGTTATTAATTAGTTAATTTTTGAGTAATTTGCGATATGTGTGAGGCATCCCGCCGCCTGTAAGGGTGGAGGCACGCATTGTGTTGTGTATGAATGTATGGATGTATGATTGTAATAGTTGGTTAATGGTAAGAGGAACCCCCAGGCGGTTGGGCCACTACTGGACGCGGTAGATGGTCGGATCACTGCTGGACGGCGAGACGTAACGTAGCAGTTGATCGAGTATGTTGGGGTCACTACTGGACGGCGAGACGTAACGCAGTAGTTGACGGGCATAGACTGGACGGCGAGACGTAACTCAGTGCCATTGCCGAGTTTGGGTATGCAACCGGACGGCGAGACATAACGTGGTTGGCATACTAGTGTAGGACTTGAGCTGGGTAGTAGCGCCAGGCTTGGTCAACATCGGGGTGGGAGCGACAGCTAGTGGGGTTGGGCGTGGATCTGGGTCGACATGACTCACGAGGGGCAACGACGAGCGGCGATGAGTAGGGTGGGGACCGACAATGAGTCGTTTGGCAGGGACCGACGGCGGTGCGGGGCGGGGACACAGGCAACGCTGCTGGCTGCTGCTCATGCTCGATGACGAAGAAAGGGGAAGGGTAGGTTGGACTGCTGCTCGTGCTCGATGACGAAGAAGTAGGGTTTTATTTCCCTTTCACGCAAGACACCAAACAGTGCCGCTTAGTGATAGCCGGTAGTCGGTAACGATCGGTCAAACCCTGGTTTTTTCACCGGTTTTTCTCGATTTTGATTGGCTACCGGCCAAGATTGAATATCGTTTTGGCTGGCCGTTTTAGAGCCCGGCTCCGGTCAAACTAGGTTCGACCCCAATTAACAACCTTGGATAGAAATGAACGGTTCGCACTTCTACATCTACAAAAGATATAAATAAGATTCATTGATGAGGATTGTAGCATTTTGAATTTCCAGCCCCTAGAGGGTTTCGCGGAGGGGCAGTTTTGTCATTTTACATCAATTAAATGATGCACAACGTTTTGATTCTACCAACACTTGCCAGCATGTGCATGCGGCCAGGTAAAGCTATGAGGATACATGTTGTAGCCTGTATGCAAGCCCAATAACCTATAAGAGGCCCAGAGTTTTGTTTTTTAACATTAATTAAATGATGCACAGTGTTTTGATTCTACTAGCACTTCCCAACCTATGCATGCGGCCAGATGCTGTAAGGATACTGGCTGTATGAAGGGCCCAACACCTGCATGAGGCCGAAAGTTTATCTGAAACCAGCGCACTGGGCTCCACCGACGCATTGTAATCACTGATACTGAATCGGAATTAGCGACCAAAACCCAAGACTCCCCCCAATAGGGCTTTGCGGAAAGGCAAAGTTGTCATTTTATGTTGAAAATGAATAGGTTTGAAAGCTATAGAGTCCCAAGAAAGAAAAACTACCACATTGATAGTTTTACTTTAGTGAAATGTGTATAAAGATAGGAGCCTCTCTGCTAATGGCGTGCTCCTTCGGGTGACCCACTTTGTGGGAGAGTGAGGGCCTAACGGACCACCACACACACACGCATGCGCGCGCTGTCCGGCCGGTCGGTTCAGCTTGAGACTATAATTTTATGTAGAAATTTCGAACAAAATTAATTATCTATTAATTAATTATTAATCGGTTATTCTTTATCCTAGATAAATACGAGTTGGAAGAGGATAATCGATTAAACGGAATATTCAAAGGATAATCAGCTGGATTTGTCTTAACTGAATCGGTTTTAATTAAGGAGAGATTATCTCCTTAATAATCTCTCCTTAATTACCATGACTTATTCCCCACGAAAAGTGAATATTCTTGAGGACTCGGCTCCTATAAATAACCGACCCTCGGACCCTCTAAACACACCACAAAGAGTAGAAACACAATAGAGAGTGTTCATAGAGCTCCGGTTATTGCACAAAACCGCCGAGCATACGAGAAGAGCTGTTTTATCCTGGAGACGACTAGATGATTGTGTGCCGTGCGCATCGAGGGCAGTGTCGCAAACGTCTTAAAGAGAGCGACCTAGTCCGCAACTAGGCTCCAGATTCGGTAACCTCGTTCTTGGTTGTTGTTCCATTTCTAACAATTTCAAGACGTTGTTGTACTGCTGCTATGGCGACTGAACAGAACAACATGACCGTATCTGGGGCTGTCGGCATCAATCGAACATTCCACTTCGTTGGGGTCAACTTCCGTATCTGGAGACAAAAGATGGAGTTCTACCTCAGGACCAAGAGGCTGGTCCGTATCTGGAGACAA